TTAGATTGACGATAGTCAATAACTACGCTGATTACGGCATGGGGGCAACGAAAGACCACGATCAAGAGGATGAGGCGTCCAGACAACAACTACAAAGTCCAAGCGCTCAAAGCCTACAAGCCCAGTTCAACAGCGAGCCTACCCAGGAGGCGGAAATCACGTGACTTTTTTAGTCGTTAGCCACGCAGACCACCGTTTGCACAAACCGACCATTGTGGAAGATCTGCGTGATCAGAAACAACTTTATTGAACCCAGAGGCCAGGTCCGTAGAGAGAAAATAGCGAACGCAACAGGAAAGCAGGAACTGAGTATTGTTGCAATTTGTCTTTACAATGCAGACAAATTTCAATCGACGATCTGTGGGAAGCGTCAAAGGTAGGAACTGGTGTAAAAATGAAAGCAAACGATATTAGGATTTGGATCATCAGATAGGAGGAAATGCTCCCCATGAAATGGTAAAGTTTGGTAATCAACTGCGCTGCAATGACTAAGAACGCCAGCGATAAGACTAGGGGATGCTGTCTTCGGCTTTAGCAGCAAGAGACGGGGAATCTTGAATTGATTGAGGAAGACCATCGGAGTGAGGGAGTGGAATGCGACTGGGAGGTTTTGGTTGCAGACCGATTGTCTTCAGTGCGTGGGGTGCGGGGTGTAATTGAAATCGTGGAGAATGACTAGGTGGATCACAAATATATCGATCGCCAATCACCCGTCGTTTGCACAGGCTAAGGCGATAATCCGAGCCTTCCAACTCTAGTAGGACACCACTGGCAAGGCAGTCCTCGCGGAAGAATTGTAAGGCCACAGGCTGTGGTCGACCGGGACCGTTTGTGAGGATAAACTTGGCACGAATGGTACCGGATGTGTTCAGGTTCGCGGTAGGCAGTGCATTGGTCTGAAGTGGGGTACTGCCCACGCTGTTAGTGGTTGGTTGACCCAATGGGATTTGCCAGGTGGCTCGATTTGAGTCAGGAAACCAGAATCCGAGTGGAAGACTTTGCATGCGCGCCACACCACCATCGACACTGAGGTGAACTCGCAGGTCACCTCGAGGGGGTAAGCTGGAATAAAGAAGATAGAAATTTGACGATCGGGCACAAGGAGACTCGAACAACAAAGACAAAACAGGTTCCTTTGTGATTACTTAAATGGGTTTTCCGTATACATCATGATGCGAGATACTGAGACGGATCTGGGAAGTGACTAGTTAGTATCCCAGTTCTTCCGATTCCAATCAGATTTACTCAGTGGCTTGTGATCAGCTACGGCGATAAGACTAAAACCGGAAAAATAAGCACAAATCACTCAGGCTAAATGGTACGTCGAACTTCACTGAAATCTTTCTCCTGGATCCAATTAATGGCCAATTAATGATCCAATTAATTGAAGGACCCTGCAGATAATGTTGTCCACAACTGTTGTCATCATCACAGCACAAAATCGGTGTTGAAGACCGATGTTCCACTGTCGCGGAAAAGGTGCAGTGCGAAAAGAATTTAAGAGAAAAGGGACTAATCCCACTACTACAACCATTTCGAGATGTCCGCACTTCCAGACACGTTAAGACAAGCTGAACAGGAATTGAAAACGACCATCAAATAATAATAATA